TGGGAGGTCAAAATTTAAAATTCCCAATAGTTTTCACAAGCGACAAGATTAACAAAAGAAAAATTAATCAAAAACTGGAATTTTTACGCAAAATCGTATTTTCACAAAATTGAATTTGGTTTTTGGTGCAACTCTTAAACAAATGACCGTAGGTACATGAAACTTTGACTGAATGTTTATATTAGCATTTTATATACAGGATAATATTTTCAAAATATTTTGATTTATTTTGAACTGTTTAGGCACATTTTCATTTTCCATTTTTTTTTAGTTTCTTTTCTAAAAATATCAATAAAATTTTATTTGTTGGTTAAAAAACCTTGAAAATTTAATACAAGGCTCCTACTATATAGTTACATTGGCATTTGAAAAATATTAAAAATCCTTAGTCACAGTTTTTTTTTATAAGCATTTAAAGTTCAAAAATTGACAAAATACGAAAAAATCAAGAAAATTAGCAAATTATTTTGAGTTAAGAATTCGTAAAAATTTTTCTTTTTAAATCTAAGGTTTTAAAATGTAATACAAGATTTCTTATAAGATTATCAAAAAAAAAAAAAAATGTCTATAAGAAAGTCAAATTAAATTTTTATGAACGTTTGAAATTCAAATTTTTACAACATTGGATATTCACTCGATTTCTCAGGTAGCGTTTTTCTTATTTTGTTGTAATTCGAAAACGAATAACTGTAGATACATGAAAATTTCACTGAGTGTTCATATTAGCATTTCCTATTCACCACACAATTTTGAAAATATTTTGAGCTGTTTACGGATATTTTAATTTTTCAATTTTTTTAGTTTTTTTTTCTATAAATATCAATAAAGTTTTATCTGTTGGGCCAATAAGTGTAAAATATTAATGGAAGATTCCATGTAAGTAGTTAATTCTGTTACCAAAAAATCTAAAAATACATAAGCACAGTTTATTTTTATAGTCATTTTAAGTTCAACTTTTTACAAAACTACATAAAAAAAAACCTAGAATAACTATTTAAGTTATTTCGTTGTGATTGTATAATATTATTCGTGGGTAGGTACTTGAAATTTCTAAAGTACATTATTATATGTCTATGGACTATGATAGTATCACTGTATCAGGGTTCGTTGTTGGTGTATAACTCATTATAACTTATAAGTACCTAACGGATATTGTGGTATGATTTATTTGGAATTTATTATAGGTACCTATTTTAGGTAAATTTTTTTAAATTCGATAGATAGGTATATAATATGTCTTATACCTAGACTGACATGTAGTCTCCGCTCAGAATCGTTTTTCTTATACAATGATATTATATCATTGAATTCAAATTTAATACTATCCATTATACAGTGACCCACTTGTAACCTACTGTACAGCATAGCACCTTATAAAAGTCTGTTGTTGATTTTATTGATTTTAATGAAATTATTAGGTAATTTTAATATCATATATTATAATACATATACGTTGTATTTAGTTAGTTTTCCCAGTATGAATAATTATTACTAGCTTTTTATTTTTTAGTAAAAAAGTTGTCATTTAAATTTGTATAAGTGTTTTAAGGTATAATATTATATTATAATCATATATCATTTCCTACTGATAATATTTATAAAAGTTCTACCAAAGACCTAGTTACTTATTAACTATTAATTATCTATCTTACCTTGTGTCTTTAAGGGTAGAATAAAATGGATAACATTGAATTGAACAATACTTTTGGGTTATCAGAGTTGAGTCCGACCAATATTTTTAGGTTGTCCGAGTTGAGTCCCTTACTCCCTTCAGTCTATTAGCGTTACACACGACACACCACGTGGAACGTACATTTCCCCTCCCCCACCCATTTCAATTTTTCAACTTTTTCCAACGCCAATATTTAGTGCTCCATTCCTGCCACCACTCCCGAAATTCCTGCTCAAAAACGAGCCCCGAAAAAATTAAAAGCCCTGGGTGGGACGGGGGAAACGTTTCTCCAGCCCCACCCATGGTCCACGTAGAGGTTGTTTGAGTTATATCCCAAAAAATGTGTGTGATTATTTACACCGTTTTTAATTGCAATAATAATTATAAGGATTAATTAAAAAAAGTGGGTGTCGCTCTGCTGTACAGTAGGTTACAAGTGGGTCACTATATAATGGATGATATTAAATTTGAATTCAACGATATAATATCATTGTATAAGAAAAATGATTCTGAACGGAGACGGTATGTCAGTCTAGGTATAAGACATTAATATATATAATATGTATATAATTATACATATCTATGGTGTTAAACAAAAAATTGACCTATAATAGGTACCTATAATAAATTCCAAATTAATCATATTACAATATCCATTAGGTACTTATAAGTTATAACGCGTTATACATCAACAAAAACCGTGATACTATCATAGATATATAATAGTACACTTTTGAAGTTTCATGTATCCACGAATAATATTATTCAATCACAACAAAATTACTAAAATAGTTATTCTAGGTTTTTTAATATGTAATTTCGTCCAAATTTGAATTTAAAATGTCTGTATAAAATAACTGTGTTCATATATTTTTTAGATTTTTTGGTTACAGTATGAACTATTTATGAGAACCTTTGTTTTAAATTTGCAATCCTTAGCTATAAAAACTGAACATTTTATAATTTATTAATTACAACGATTGATAATTTTCGAGATTTTGATCAATTTTGTCAAAATTCGATCTTTAAATGCTTATAAAAAAAACTGTGCCTTTGTATTTTTAATATTTTTCAACTGATGTTGTAACAATATATCAGGAGCCTATTGTATTAAATTTTTACACTTTTTGGCCCAACAGATAAGACTTTATTGATATTTATAGAATAAAAAACTAAAAAAATTGGAAACTAAAAATGTCCGTAAACAGCTCAAAAAGTGTCAAAATATTTTTAGAATTGTACAGTGTATTGGAAATGCTAATATAAACATTCAGTGAAATGTCCATGTACCTACAGTTATTCGTTTTTGAATTACAGAAAAATAAGGAAATCGCTACATGGGAAATCGAGTGAATGTTCAATGTTGTAAAAATTTGAATTTCAAACAATCTTAAAAATTCAATTTGTCTTTCTTATAGACATTTTTTTTTTGATAAAGGTAGTTAATCTTATAAGGAATCTTGTATTACATTTTAAAACCTTAGATTTAAAAAGAAAAATTTTTACGAATTCTTAACTCAAAATAATTTGCTAATTTTCGTGATTTTTCCATATTTTGTCAATTTTTGACTTTAAATGCTTTAAAAAAAAAACTGTGACCAAGGATTTTTAAAATTTTTCAAATGCCAATGTAACAAAATAGTAGGAGTCTTGTATTAAATTTTCAAGCTTTCGCAACCAACAAATAACATTTTATTGATATTTTTAAAAAAAAAACTAAAAAAAAATGGAAAATGAAAATGTCCCTAAACAGTTCAAAATAAATCAAAATATTTTGAAAATGTTATCGTATATAGAAAATGCAAATATAAACAACCAGTGAAAATTTCATGTATATACGTTCATTTGTTTTAGAGTTACACCAAAAACCAAAATCGATTTTTTGGAAAACCGATTTTGCTTAAAAATTCCCGTTTTTCCTTAATTTTTATGTTGTTATAAATTTTGTGCTGGCTTTGATATTATGTTTGAATACTGTAGATCGGTAGGTATACCTTCGGCCAGTTGCTAAAAACCCTAAAATTGCATTAAGTCTTTCATGAGGGATTATGCACTTTCTCATGACCGTATTTTGTTTTTGAATGGTATTGAAAACTAATGATAGGTAATATGTAGTATAGGTAGGTACTTGTTTCATCATCCATATGAAGATAGTTCCTGAAATCATCTAGTTGTTAATTCACCAATACACAAAGTTAGGCATGGTTGTCTTTTTCACAATCAATTTTTCTACATTCTACCACTTCTTTTTATTTATGTTATTTAAATTTATTTTTTGAAGTATTAACTTTTTTTTTTTTAATCACACACACAGATATCTCTTTTTCGGTTATGGACGAATTTTTTACTGCAGTGTCAAATTAGAACTGAACAAAAATTTGTGTCAATAACTGAACGGCTAAACGTAAATAATTTACACAGTCATTTGCACAAACTGAATGCTCAAAAATACCTCAAAATTGGATTGCGGAGTTCAACTGAACGAGTAAACCCATCTTGTCTAATTACCTATATTGTTGAGTTATTTTTAATTGTTGAGAGTAAAAGTATTTTTACAGAGAATTTCTAAAGACTAAAACTAAAACGCATGTTACTATAATACTACATTAGTAGTTAAACACCTACTATAAATAGGTAGGTAATAGGTATCTTTGTAATAAATTTGACCAACCAGGAATATATTTGGTTAACTATTAGTGTTTTTCATAAATAAATAAGATGAGTATAATACCATACTAGCATAATGAATTTGTAGTTTTTTTCCGGAATCCTGTATGACACGGGGAACTATATTATTATAATATTATACAAATTATTGTACATCATCGAATGTCATTTTACGCTGGTCGTCCTCGGTAGTCGTCCGCCGATTCCGCGTGTATTTTTGGAGCTTGCCGTATTATACCTATGCACTATGCGCGCTCGCAAGCACACGCGCAACGTTTCGCGAAAATAGTAATAATAATAATGTATGTTTTGGTCGTAAAACCGACACAGTACGACGCACACACGACGCACCGCCGTCGTTGTGCCGAGTGCCTTCGTGCCGTACGTTCAGTAACAACCGAGCCGCCGTCGTCGGTGTGTGTGTCGTGTGTGCGTCTCGTTTTGGTTCCCAGCTAGCGGACGGAGAATTATAATATTATTTTAATCGTTGTAGGGATAATATATTATCATCATACCGTGATAGTAATAATATTGTACTGTGGTTAGTCATCGCTGTCGTAAATTAGTAATTACTCGTCGTATCTCGTAGTGTTCGACAAAGGATCATCAGTAAGACGCGGAGTCGAGTGCGGTGCGTCAATTACCGTAGATAACGGTCGCGATGTGCGCTAAAAATACGAGTTTCGTCGACACCGACGTCGACTTGCACCTGAAGATATCCAATTACGAGGAGACGGTCAAACACTTGGACATCTACTACGGCATAGGTCAGTCGATAACCCCCCCTCCCATTGGCCGTTGACAGCTCATTTAAAATCTGTTATGCAATAAGTCAAATGTCAATATTGAATCATATTATAATAATTAATAATATGCCTATAATATGTAAAATATCGATATATTATATTATAATATGTACCTATATCAATGCTGTATCCAGAACGTTTTTGTTTTGGTAAGGTATGTAAGTTTTTCCTTTAGTTTTTGTTATGCTAGAAAGTAGAATTACAACACGTATTACCTATTTTATGAATAAACATTAATAAACATTTTATGAATAAACCCCTCGATCATAAACAGTATAAGCACGTGTCCTTTTTCTTTTGATAGTACTTACAATGCTATAAGAAAATACGGTGCCAATTCAGTAGGTACTTGATATTCGATATGACAATAATATATTATTATATTAACGTTTAAATAAACGATTATTATGAACAGAACAATTAATTTAATTTTCAAATAAAATTGAGAATAAAATACTCATAAAATCATTACTGCCTCATAACTTTCATAAAATACCTACCTACGTAATATAATAATGTTATTATTATTACTTATTAGTAATATAATTTTATTCTCAAGTTGTATTTGTATTTAGAATAATATAATGGTATACCTCCGGATATACCTCGGGATATACTTATAATATCTTGAATTAAATTTGTCTTAGGTACTTATTTTGAATTCACAATGAAATTCATCAATATGCATAATCATTATATTCTGAGCCCTGCAGCTCATTAGTCATTATTTATATTGAAATGCCAGGAAATAGGTTCCGTCTATCGTATTTGTCTAAGCGCAGATACAGATTTCCCATTAGGCAGTGTATAGGCAACTGCCCAGGGCGCAAGTGGCAAATTCTGCAGTGTCTTGTTAAAATACATTATACGTATAAAAAAAAAATCTAAAATTAATTACTTTATATTTACGAATTTTAAATAATTTTATAATAATGTATAATATATTTTTGTATACATATTATTTTAATGCACCTATTTGGCATATCAGCTATTTTGATTCAATATAATTTATAGTCATAATAAATTCGTAAAAATAATCTACAAGTACCTAGTAGGTACCTATTTTCATCGAATAGAAAACAGTTTTTGTTGTTTTTGATAATACTAATAACGAGACTAATAATGTATCGGACGAATACGCCAAAATGGCAAAATCGAGGGCAAAATCATATCGTACGAAAGCGAAAAAATCCTAGATACCTGTGTGCCACGGTTATTAGATATTACATTTAGAATTATATTTTATATTTTAACAATTTTTTATTGACAATTTTTTATGAAATCGAAAAAACCAACCCATTTATTAAAATAATAATTTTATAATAAATTATATTTTATACATTTCCATTATATTTATTGACAATTTTCAATAAGATCGACATTTATAAGTTATAACACAACCTATGTCTTGTATAAAATATTAGCAGAGGCCGCGTCGGCGTCACCACGTTAAAAATACGTACTGTCGACTTTGCGTAATATATAAAGCAACAATGCCACAATGGTATATTATTATTATTGGCGATCGAAGTCGTCGTACTTTCAGTAATTAATAAATACCTACACGACCACACTATATTATTACTAATTCGACAATCCTATGACGTATAGTAGTATTGCCATAGGCGCAAATAGCGTTTGGGATTTGGGGGGGGGGGCTAAAGCATTACTTTGATAATATTGAATAAGCCTAAAACAAAATGTAGGAAATATTTGGGTTGGGGGCAAGGTATTTGGACATTTTTTTTTGGTTGGGGGGCTTAGCCCCTAAAGCTTCCTATATTTGCTCCTATAGGTATTGCTATTATTATGAACAGTCTTGTTCGAAGGGTAACTGGTAACAATAATAATCAAACACTTGAGTTGACTAATAAATATTATATTATTTTTCATTTGTGCGGTGTGTCCACGTATTTTGCAAATCAATAAGAAATTTGGTTCAGGCATTGGCGTAAATAGTGTTTGAAATTTGGGGGGGGCTGAAGCTCAGGTATATACTTGAAACTCTTATGATGCTTTTAAATTATAGTAGTGAAATCATTAGTTTTTGGGAGGGCTATAGAAACTTCAAGGGGGGCTAAAGCCCCCTAGCCCCCTCCTATATGCGCCTATGGGTTCAGGTGCTCTAGGTAAGTACTAAATACTAAGAAAATATTTATTTTACCTATTTAAAAGCCAGATGTCAACTTCTAAAATTGAAATAGTCACCTAGGTTGAATTGTTATAAAAAAATATTTATTATTTATAACATCAGTTTTGACTTTTCTATGTTCATAGCTTGCTGCCTGCCTATTATTATAAAAATAAAGTGTATATTATAAAATTTTTGGAAATTGGATGTTTTACTTAATGTTGGTGGACATCTATAATTTACATTTTTCAAAGTAGGCTAAATAAGTAGGTATTACTAATAAATAAAAACGAGAAATATATAGTCTAAAAATTCAAATGGATTTAGGCACTATTATCTAATATCTATTAGAGTTAATATTTAGAGTATTTTGGAAGGGGTATTACGAGGTGTATTATAACTTATTTATCTATTATAATTTTTATTAGTGGCAAATTTTTAGTGCCTATAGCCGTAAAAAAGATAAATCCTCCTCTGACCATGTGTATTTTGCCATTTTGGGTAGTTTATTATTTGTATTACATAGGTATTTCTGAGTTGATGATATTATTATTTAATAATCATAACGTACTGGACGAGTGAGTACCCACAAAATATTTATATCTACCATATTTGGAATTTTATTGGTCTAACTTTGCAGTTTGTATTTACTACCTAGTACCTAGTACCTAGTACCTGTTGCTTATTGGCTATATTTATATTATGTAAGCTATAGGTACCTATTATTAACATTTATTGTGTTTGGAAATTGGCTACTTGGACTTCCGAGCCTGGAGCCCCATACCTATAATATATTAGGTACGTAGGTAGGTATAGACGGAATATTTATACTACAATATTACTACTTAGTACTGTTACTGTACTATTGCCTACATAATACTAGTATTTATAATCAATGCTATAGGATACAAAATAATAATCATTGAACTCCAGTTACGACGATCGCTCCGTATACACGCGTATCGTTCTTATTATCAAAGTATAATAATAATATTGCGGTCGATAACGAATGATTTATATAACTGGATATAACACACGTGCGTTGTGAGTTGTGACGCTTAATCACTCTCGTAATCGTAACTATTTATTTATCATTACATAAATTAAATGTAAATATATTACTTCATGGACTCGCCCGATACGATAAACTTAAACTTGATAAAGAGTAGTACCTATAGGTAATATAGTATTATAGTACCTACTTTTGGTGTAATGTGTATGACAGTGTTTCTCAACCTTTTTGACACCAGTGTTGGTCAAATTGACACCACGGACCATTTTGAAAACTCTGGTTAGGCGTGTCCCGGACCACATCGATTTTATGGAGATCTAATTTTTTGCTTATAACAATAGGATCAATTTTTTTTCGACAGATTTAAGATTTCGGAATAAATAAAAACTACCTATGACATTTCCATAAATACCTAACAACTTTTATTATTCTTGTTTTATTCATTAAATTAATTTTAATTGTCTTTTTAAAGATTTTATGCCCATAATGTAGGTATTTAAATTAAGAGGTCGCTATGCCCACATGTGTAACACAAAAGTATTGTCTCCGTCTTACAACTTACAAGTGCGTAACATAGCGATGTTTACGATCGGCAGAACACGTGTATAGATAACTTAGTTTAAAAATTAGAGTGAATTGACCTACCTATTATAAAATCTAAAGGTAAGATTATTATCTGGGCAACCTCGTGGACTCTTTATTATGATTTATATTTTAATTTTAAACAGAGTTATGAGTGTTTTAAGATATAAAAACAATTTCGAACTTTAAAATAGGTACTCATAACTCTGTTTAAAATTAAAATATAATAAAGAGCCCACTAGGTTGCTTCGATAATTTTTTTATCAATTATATAAGTGGTCAATTCACTCTAGATTTTAAACCAACGGAACTACACGTGTTACACAATTGGCTATGTTACACATTTGTCCTCTTAATGATATTATCAACGATTAGGTATTGAACTTGAACTTAATTTATAAGTTTCGGAATTTCGGTATGGATATACACTCGGATATAGGTAGGTACATATAGCTGTTTCATAGAGCTATACGCATGCCGTCACTCGCATGCAATAAATTGTTTTGCTATGCATCGTTTGTAATGTTATTTTAGGTTCTGAGCGGAGCGAAAAATGTATTGATTTTACAACGATGTGTGTTTTTTTTTAATTTTTAATTTTTGTGTCTGTCATCATCCTTTTAGAACAGTAAAAATGCTTAGATTTTCTTCAACAGTATTTTTTCTGATAGAAAAGTGATTGTAGTTGGTACTTTGGGGGGTAAACATTTCCCAGTAGTTTTCAAAAACAAAAGAAAAGTAAAGAAAAACTGGGAATTTTTACTCAAAATCTGTTTTCAAAAAAATCAATTTTGGTTTTTGGTGTAACTCTACAACAATTTATAACCGTAGATGTATGCAATTTTCACTGGTTATTTATATTTAAATGGGTCACCATTTATATTAGCATTTTCAAAATATTTTGACTTATTTTAAGTTGTTTACGGACATTTTCAGATTTAATTTGTTTTAGTTTTTACTTCTATAAATGTCAATAAAATTTTATTTTTTGTTAAAAAATCTTAAAAATGTAATACAAGGCTCCTAATATATATTGTTGCAATGGCATTTGAAAAATATTAAATATCCATAGTCAACATTTTTTTTTTTTAAGCATAAAGTTTAAATATTGACGATAAAAATAAATTTTATTTACAAATAAAAGTGACGAAAACGTGCAAATTATTTTGAGTTAGCAATTCATAAAAATATTCTTTTTTAAATCTAAGACTTTAAAATATAATACAAGATTCCTCA